CTCCCTTCCTCTCTGAAATCAATAAAAGTATTTTTTAAAAAAATAAGAAATCTTAGGGGAAAGCTTTATTTTTGAGACTGCTTCAAAGGAGTGAAGATGTCATAAAGAGGTAGTGAGCATTTAATAGTAGCCTTTGTTCCATGGTGTTCATATAATAGTATATATTTGGAATATTGGAAATTTATGAAAAATGTGCATTATACAGTAAGTAGAATCTAATCCAATAAAAGAGAAACATGCAAATTGACCATAACTTTGCTACACCCTAAGCCACAGCCACCAGCCAATCAGAGTGACTATATGCAAATTAACCCAACCAAGATGGTGGCCGGCAGCCACGGAGCTGGAGCAAGCAGAAGGCTTGGTTGCCCGAGCGATGGAGGAAGCCAAGCTTCCTGCCTGCCCTGCCGCCTGTGGCTTCTGCTAAAGGCAACAAAGTTTCAATTATAGAAGATAAATAAATCCCAGATACCTGCTTCCAGCCAGCCTCCACTGGGAGCTTGGGTGGCTGGGGGCCGTGGCCAGCCTGCAAACACCCCTCAGCCTGTCACCCAGGCTGGCCAGGCACCCCAGCGGGACCCCAACCCTGATCTGGGACACCCTTCAGGGCAAACTAGCCGGCCCCCACCCATGCATGAGGCCTCTATCATATATAATAAAAGGGTAATATGCAAATTGACCCTAACAGCAGAAAGACTGGGAATGACTGGTCACTATGACACACACTGACCACCAGGGGCCAGAGGCTCAATGCAGGAGCTGCCCTCTGGTGGTCAGTGCGCTCCCACAGAGGGAGCTCTGCTCAGCCACAAGCCAGGCTGATGGCTGCCAGTACAGCGGTGGTGATGGGAGCCTCTCCCACCTCCTTAGCAGCGCTAAGGATGTCCAACTGCAGCTTAGGCCTGCTCCCCGCTGGCAAGTGGACATCCCCCGAGGGCTCCGGGGCTGCCAGAGGGATGTCTGATTGCCAGCTTAGGCCCAATCCCCCGGGGAGCGGGACTAAGCCATCAGGTGTTCATCCCTCAAGGTGTCCCAGACTGCGAGAGGGCACAGGCTGGGCTGAGGGACCCCCCCAAGTGCACATAGAATGAGTTCAGAGACTTCCATCCTCTTTAATTGAACAAAAAACTTTTGAGAAGAATTTAAGTTTGTGTTTTTTTAAATATTGGTAGAATTCACCATGAAACCATCAGGTCTAGGGAGTTTCTTTGATTTGGAGATTTTTGATTACTGATTCGATCTCCTTACTAGTTATAGATCTTCTTAGATTTTCTTTATCTGTGTGATTTAGTCTTGGTAGGTTTTGTGTTTCTAGGAATTTTTTCATTTTGCCTAAGTTACTTAATTTGTCGGCATAAAAATTATTCATAGTATTCTTATAATATTTTATATTTCTATATAATTGATATTAATGTCCCCAGTTTAATTTCTGAATTTGGGTCTTCTCTTTTTTTATTAGTCTATCTAACTAAAGGTTTATCAATTCAAAGAACCAACTTTTGGTTTCATTCATTTTCACTATTATTTTTCTTATTTATTTCTGCTCTAATCTTTATTATTTTCTTCCTTATGCTAGCTTTGGGTTTAGTTCTTTTTCTAGTTCTTGAAGTTGTGAAGTTAGGTTGTTGATTTCAGATCTCATTTTTTAAATATATGTTTTCATTGATTTTGGAGAGGGAGAGGAAGAGGGAGGGGGGAAAGGAGGAGGAGGGGGAGGAGGAGGCATATGTGTGAGAGAGAAACATTGATCCATCGCCTCTGGGGATTGAACCCGCAACCTGGGTTTGTGTCCTGATCAGGAATCGAAGTGACAACCTTGCAGTGGCCAGGGCGACTCAACCAACCTGAACCCAACTGCAAGGGCTCAGATTTCATTTCTTTTTTTCTTTTTCTTTTTATATTTTATTGATTTTTTACAGAGATGAAGGGAGAGGGACAGAGAGTTAGGAACATCCATGAGAGAGAAACATCGATCAGCTGCCTCCTGCACACCTCCTACTGGGGATGTACCCGCAACCAAGGTACATGCCCTTGACCGGAATCGAACCTGGGACCCCCCAGTCCACAGGCCGACACACTATCCACTGAGCCAAACCCGTCAAGGCTCAGATTTCATTTCTTATTATAAACTTTTATAGCTATAAATTTCCCCCTTGGCACTGTTTTTGCTGTCTCACAAGTTTGGGGATGTTTTCATTTCCATTCATCTGAAAGTAATTTATAATTTCTCCTGTGATTTCTTCTTTGATCCAGTGGTTGTTTAAAAGTGTGTTGTTCAAGTTTCACAATTTTGTGAATTTTCTAATCTACCTTGTGAGAATTGATTTCTAACTTCATCCCGAATGGTCACAAGACACTTTGATATCTATTTTTTAAAACTATTGATTATTTAATACTAATTTGTGGCCAAATGTAGTTATATTATGAATGGTGTCTTTATTTGTAGTTAATTTATTTACAAGTTAATTTCTATCACTAACCTAAAATATGGTCTGTCCTGGAAAATGTCTCATTTGAACCTGACCCCGTGTGTTCTGTTGTTGGGTAGAGTGCTCTGTCTGTGTCTGTGAGATCTAGTTTGTTTATTATATTGTTGAAGTCTTCTATTCTCTTTTTTCTTGTTGTTTAATATTTATTCTAGAGAGAGTAATAGAGACAGGGACATCGAAGTGAGAGAGAAACATCAATCGGTTGCCTTCCATACACGCCCAAACCGGGTATTGAACCTGCAACCTGGGTATGTGCCCTAAGCAGGAATGGAACCCGGCACCTTTTGGTGTGTGGGACAGCTTAACCAACTGAGCCACACTGACCAGGGCAGAATCCTCTGTTTTCTTATTTACTTTCTGTCTGGTTGGTTGGTTCATTATTATAAGTGGGCTATTGAAGACTCGCACTGTTATTGAGAAATGCCTATTATGTAGAAATGTATATTTCACCCTTCAGTTCTGTTAGTTTTCGATTCATATATTTTGAAGGCCTATCATTAGGTGCAAAATAAAAAGTATTTTGTTTGAATTAGTGTAGCACCTCTGCTCTCTTAGGGTCACTATGTGCATGGAATATATTTCTCCATTCTTTTACTTTCAACTTGTTTGTGTTTTTGTATCTCAAGTGAGTCTTGTAGACTGCATACAGTTGGATCCTTTGTGTTTACCTGTCTGTCCAATGTCTGTCTTCAGATTGGAGAATATAATCATTTTAAATATAAAAGGATTATTGACAAGAAGGATGGTTTTCTATGATTATGCTACTGGTTTTCTACATGCCTCAGAGCTTTTTTGACCCCCCCTTTCCTGTTTAGTTGATTTTTATAGTGAAATGCCAACATTTCTTTACTATTACATATTGTCCATTTTATAGGGTTTTTGTTTGTGGTTATGATGTAGATTTTATATTTAAAATCCTACAGTTAGAGTATTCTTATTTGAATTTATACCAACTTAATTTCAATAAATTGTAAAAACTGCACCTTTACAAATCTATCCCCACCACCTTTGGTTGTTAATGTGATACTAATCTCTACACTAATAATTGTAATACTAGCCTCCACAGTAATGTATTTATCTTCCTTTGAAGGATTATTCTCTTAGACCACACAGAAAACAAAAATTATAGGTACAAACCATTGTTACAGTAATGCTGGCTTTAATAATTGCCTGTGTATGTGCCTGCAGTGAAATGCTATTTATTCATATGCCTTTGGGTTACTTTTTTTAATTTCACCTTTCAGGACTCCCTTTAGTATTTTTTGAAGGCAAGGTCTAGTGGTAACAACTCCCTCAGCTTTTATTTGTGAATAAACCTTAATATCTCCCTCATGTTTCAGCACAGTTTTGCTGGATTGAGGATTTGGGGTTGGCTTTTTTCTGTTTTTTAAATCACTTTGAGTCTATCAGTTCACTGTCCTCTGGCCTCCAAGACTCTGATGAGAAATCTGCTGATATTCTTATTTAGAATCCCTTGTACCTGATGATTCACTTCTCACAGCTTTTCAGATTCTGTCACTGGCTTTTGAGAGTTCAATCATGTTTCTCAGTGTGGATCTCTTGAGTTGATCTTACTGAGAGTTTGTTGAGATTTTTTATATTTATATCTGTCTTCCATCAAATTTGGAAAACTTTCAGCCATTGTTTCTTCAGATATTTTCTTTGCCCCTCCTGTCTTCTCTTTCTGAGAGCCCCACAATGCGTATGTGATCTGCTTATTGATTTCCCACAGGTCCCATAGGCTCTCTTCACTTGTCTTCATTCCTTTTTCTTTCTGTTCTTCAGACTCAATACTTTCCATTGGCCTTTCTTCAGGTTCACTGAATCATTTTTTTGTCTGCTAAAAACTACCTTTAATTCCTGTAGCGAATTTTTCATTTAAGTAAGTGTACTTTTCAGTTCCAAAATTGCCTTTTGATATCTTTTTAGGTTTCCATCTCCGAACTGATATTCACATTGTATTCATTCTGTTAGGGTTTGGCCAGGGACATGGGCTGTGAAAGAATTCACAACTGAGAAAGGAATAGATGCAGACAGAGGGAGTTTATTTTATTTTCCAAGGGAGGAAAGGGCCAGGTGCCTTTTGGCAGCACAAGGGGCCCAAGGTGGGGGGTTGTTCTTCTATAAGCGTATTAGGTGTAAATGGCAGCAGTGGCAAATGGATAAAAAAGGGAGGGGATCGGGGACTTCACCTTAACGTTTTCCAGATCCTGGAGGCTGTCCTGAGGAGCTATGGCTTGTTTGTCCTTTAGCTGCAGATGTCCTACAGAGGTGTCTGTTAGCATCTTCACAAGCCTGTAAAACCCTTACAGGGAAAGTTACAAAGGGTTGGGAGGGAGTAGAGTTCTTCTACTAACTAGAAACTCTGTTGTAATTTCCCTGGAATCATTAAAACGGCAGGGAAGGGGGTAATGGGGGAGGTGCAGCCTGCTTTTCAAGCCTGCTTGAAGAGAGAGGCACTTTGAATAGGGAAGTCTGCAATCTCCACATGCTTCTCATGGCTTATGCAAGGTTACCATGAGGGAAAAGAGGCCTTTTTCTTGTCCTAATACATTCATTTTTTTTCTTGATTTTCAGCATTTCTTCCATTAATTCTTTGAGCATCCAGGTAACAGTTATTTTAAAGTCTTTGTGTATTTGATCTGGAATGAGGTCTTTTTTCAGCGATAATTTCTATTAATCTTTTTTTTTCTTTGAAGGCACCATACTTTCCTATTTCTTTGTATGCCTTGTGATTCTTTTCTTGAACTGGACACCTGAATTCTAATAATGAGGTAACTCTGGAAATCAAATTCTCCTTCCCAGGGCTTGTTATTTTCTTAGCTCGTTTTAGTGTTTTGATTGTTGTAGGGTCTGAGGATCAGCCAGATATGTAAACTGAAGGCCTTCTCAGGTCTTTCCGAGCCTTTCCCTGGGCAGGCACAGTCACCTAATTTCCCCCACCTGTGCATGTCCTAGATTTGATGTCTGTCTCCTGAAAGGGGAAAAAGCAAAAATTGAAAGGGCAGCAAAGGACACTGGATCCTTAAATATCTGGAAGTCTCTTCAGTAGGCTATAAATGGGCTTGCAAGAGTGGGGGACATGTGACAATAATGACTGCCCACTTGGTGTCTTTGAGTTAGTGTTTTTTTGTGATCAGAAATAGCAGTCAGTCGCCGAATCCGGTTTGGCTCAGTGGGTAGAGCGTCGGCCTGCGGACTGAAAGGTCCCAGGTTCGATTCCGGTCAAGGGCATGTACCTGGGTTGCGGGCACATCCCCAGTAGGAGATGTGCAGGAGGCAGCTGGTCGATGTTTCTCTCTCATCGATGTTTCTAACTCTCTATCTCTCTCTCCCTTCCTCTCTGTAAAAAATCAATAAAATATATTAAAAAAAAAAAGAAATAGCAGTCAGTAATAAGTGCATAAATCCCTGGTATCTGTGAGGACAGGGTTCTTTTTTCACTCCCTGGTTCCTACAGGCTGTTTATAAGCTGCCCCAGGAGCACGTGCATAGCTGCCTGCTGTGGGAGTGGGATGGGTAGCTGCCATTGTGCTCAGAGCTGAAAGTGACTGATATTAAATCAATTTCCATGTCCAAGTCCTGCCTTAGAAACTACAAACCTTTCAGGGACACCAGAGTTGCAAAATAGTTACATCATGCACATTCTAGCATTGTAATTGTTTGGGTGGGAAGAGAGATTCTTGGTGCCTCCTACCTTACCATCATCCCCGACTTCTCTCCTAATCTGTAATAATAAAAGGGTAATATGCTAATTAGACCACACGTGCTTCCTGATGACCTTCTGGATGAAGCCAGGGCAGCTAGAGTAGCCCAGGCCCCGGGTGCCAGAGAGAAAGAGAGATCAATTGTGAGAGAAGCCTTAATTCGTTGCCTCCTCTACACGTCCAGACTGGATTGGGCCCGAAACCTGGGTGTGTGCCCTGACCAGGAATCAAACCACCACCTTTTGGTGTACAGGAGGACACTCCAACCAACGGAGCCACTCTAGCCAGGGCCTGAGGAGTATTCATAAGACTTGAAACTTAGGCAGCACGTTCCACATGCTAATTCATCTACTCACAGCAATCCCACGAGGTATATACTATTATCCTCTTTTCATAGATGAGGAACCTGAGGAAGAGAAAGGGCCTTGCCCAGCTCAAAGAGCAAGTCAGTTGTGGGGCTGGGACTCCAGTGCAGGCAGGGAAGCTCTCGGGCCTGACCTCTCTACACAGTCATTGTCCTGCCTGGGCAGAATGGCATGAACTCGGGCACAGGGGAATGTTGATGTGCCTGCTGCAGATAGCAGAGGCCAGACCGACAAGCACATGTGTAGATAGTTTGCTCTGGGTCAGTGTGTGCTCAAATGCAGCAACTCTCTCTTCCATTAAATTACAGATTTAGTTAGTACTTTCATGATAGGCTATTTAAGAAACTTTTCCCTCAAACTACTATAGTGCAGAAAAACAACCATATAAAATTTTTCTTCGTTATTATATGCATCGTGTTAACTGGTTAAAAAAACAGCACAACAGTAATCTTTTTTTTCTTCTTATTTAGCTATAACTTAGTTGGAACACCAGTTCTACATTGTCAACTTGCTGGAGATGGGAATAATGTGGCTTGGAGTGGTGACCCCCCACAGTGTGAAAGTAAGTATATTCTGTCTTTAGAATTTAGAGCAGTTCTCAAACTTTTGATCTTGATTTGACTTTATGCTTTTAAATTTAAAAAGACCCCCATATAGCTTTTCTTTAGGTGGGATATGGCTATTGCTATTCCATTATATTGGAATTAACCTTGAAAAGTTTTTTTTATATGTATATATATATATTTTATTGATTTTTCACAGAGAGGAAGGTAGAGGGACAGAGAGTTAGAAACATCGATGAGAGAGAAACATCGATCAGCTGCCTCCTGCACATGTCCTACTGGGGATGTGCCCACAACCCAGGTACATGCCCTTGACCGGAATCGAACCTGGGACCCTCCAGTCCGCAGGCCGACGCTCTATCCACTGAGCCAAACCGGTTTCGGCACCTTGAAAAGTTTTAAAAATAATTATTAAGAACAGTAAGCACAGTACATATTAATATGTACAACATATTTTTAAAGAAAAACCAAAATTTTCAAAAAATTGAGAATAGTGGCATTGTTTCACATGTTTGCAAACTCACCAATATGTGGCTTCAATATAGACCTCGATTTGGGCTGTTGCATTAACACACCATTTGCACATTTGGCAAACTGCACTACATACTGTATGGATGAAAAAGATCATACTTTTTTTTCATAGAAACTTTGTTTCAAATAGATATTGGATATTCAAATAGATTGTAGAAATCATATGTTAATGAATTTATTGAAGCAGTTCATAAGGCATTACTAATGCTGTCTTAACTTTTATCTTTTCTTTTGCGTTTCCTGTCCTCTTTTTTTATCTTTTTAAGAGATTTTGTGTCAACCACCTAAACAAATAGAAAATGGAATATTCAGCAATAGCCACAAGGATATATTTGAATATAATGAAGTAGTCACTTACAGTTGTAAACCTTCGACTGGGCCAGATGAGTATTCACTTGTTGGAGAGAGCAGACTGATTTGTACTGGGCCAAACAAATGGAGTAGTAACCCTCCTGAGTGTAAAGGTAATAACATTTTTTTAAATTTCTTTATTTGTAAATAGTATGGAAATACTTTGTAAATACTCGACTAACAAGTAAACAATAGCTATATATGCTCCCTCACCCTGCTAAATTGTTTTCTAACTTAATTTTAGAAAGGTAACATTGAATGAAAACTAATTTTACTTGTATTGTTCCCCACTCTTCACCATATATATTCTTGGCATTCCAACTTATACATTGTGAATTACTCTGTAGATGCATGAGTTGGGATTTTTTTTCTTCCAAACATCAAAAAACTCAACACACATTGGTGTAAAAATAACAGATTTATTTTGCATTGCAAGAAGTCTAAGAGTACTGACTAGGAAAAAATGGTAAATTATAAAAGACTAACCTTTTCACCAGTACAGTTGATAAACTCTGGACAAAACATCAAGCATACGTTGTTTAATAGCACTTTGCTTTATTGCATTTCACAGATATTTTGTTTTTAAAAATTGAAGGCAAGACCCTCAACAGCAAATAGATTATAGCTTGCTTTATTATGATACTCATTTTATTGCTGTGGTTTGATACCAAACCTGGTATATCTTTGATGTATGCCTGTACTTTAAAAACAATGTTGAAGGCCGTAGAGCATGACTTAAAACAGGAGGCAATGGATGGTATTTGACTCTTGAAAGAATGGAACCACTGAATAATACCAAAATAATTACTCTTGTCAAAGGCAAATGGAATATCCCATTCTCTAATTACATATTCTAAGCATTTCAAAATATTGAAATCATTTACTATACATTATCTGATGACAGTGGAGTGAACATAGATATCAAAATAAAGATATCAAATCCCCAAATATATGAAAGTTATGCAAGGCACTTCTAACTCATGATACAAAGAAGACTTCTCAATGAAAATTTGAAAGTATTGTGAATTGAATAAAAATGAAAATACCACACATCAACATTTGTGGGATACAGCAAAAAGCATTAGTGGGCTACTAATAGCATGAAATTCTTTTATTAGAAAAGCAGAAACATCTCAAATCAATAATACACACTTCTGTTTGAACCTAAAAAAAGAATAGCAAATTGTACTCCAAATAAGGAAACAAAAGGAAAGAATAAAGATAGAAATCAATGAAATTGAAAAGAAAAAAGTAGAATTAATGAAATCACCTAGTTATTAGAGAAGATCAGTCAAATGTTTTAACATATAACCATTCTGACAAAAAGAAAAAAAATACAAATTACTAATATTAAGAATGAAAAAGAAGACATCGCTAAACATATCCAACAGGTGTTTAAAGGATGATAAGAGAATAACACAAACGACTTTATGCCTATAGATTTGACAACATAAACCTTCTCTTGAAGAGAACTGTTCTCCTTTGGGAATCTATCAGACATTTCAGGAGTAAATAATAGTAGCTCTACACAAACTCTTCAGGAAAATCCAAAAGTGTATGTGAGGGGGAATACATCTCACATCATTTCATGAGGATTGCATTGCTCCCATATTAAAACCAGATAAACATTTCAGGAACATTAAAAACAATATCCATAATGATCATAGAACCAAAAGTCCTCAACAAAATATTAACAGATCAAATCCTATAATAAATACTAAAAGTAATACATCATAATCAAATACAATTTACTCCATGTATGTAAGGTTAATTTAAATTTAAAAATTAAATTTACTATATCAGGACATATAAAGAAGAAAAATATACATGATTATCTTAATGTGAAAAAAAGCATTTGACAGAATTCATCATCTTTTCATTATACAACTTCTCAGTGAAGTACTAGTAAGAATAGAACTATCAGTCCCTGAAAAATGGCTCTAACTAAAATCCCATAGCTAACATTTTACTTACTGGTACATGAATGAATTATTTCCCCCTTAGGTAGGAACAAGGCTAGGATGGTCCTGCCCAGTACAGTAAGGCAAGAAATTTATAGACATACATGTTGAGGAGAAAGAAAGAAAGTAGATTTATTATACATCATTGTGTAGAAAATTCGAAAGCTTGAAGTTTTCGCCAGGTGGCAAGCATAATAAGATCAATGTACAGAAATCAATTGTATGTCTATATACTTGTAATAAATCAGTAAGAAATTGAAATTGTTTACATAATATTTACAACAGTTTCAAACTACATATATTTGAAAATGTATAACACATGTGCAAGAATTGAATGGTAAAAACAACTAAACACTTTATAGAATAAATTAATAGACCTTAATAGAAATAAGGTTGTGGATTAAAAGAGTAAACCATAATAAAGATAATAATTTTTCCATAATCTATAATTTTGGCACAGTCCCATTAAAAATCTCAATAGAACTTTTTGTATAAATAGACAAACTGATTCTAAAATTTATATGAAAAGACAACAGAGGTATAATCGTAAAGATTTTTTAAAAGTTAGAAGACTCATTCTACCTGTTGTGAAAGCTTATTATAAAACATACTATGGAATATATGATCAAGACAGTATGGAATGGAATAGAGTCCAGAATAGACCCTTTCGCCTGCATCCAGTTGATCTACCACAGGTGCACAAATAATTCAGTGGAAAATGGTAAAAGCACAGGCACATTTGATACCCATATGCAAAAAAAAGAGATCTCAACCCAGTTTTATACCATATACATTTACTTAAACCATCATAGACTTAAATATAAAAAATAAGACTTTTACTAGAAAATATAGAAAGTATTTATGACCTAAATGAAGATTTCTTAAATACAACCCTAAAAGGAATCTTTTAAAAGAAAAAAATTCTTAAAAACTCAAAAATTCTGCTCTCATAAAAGTTATAAGAATAAAAATATGAGCCATAGACTTGAAGAAGATATTTTGCAAAGCACATGTATATAGATCTCTGAAAACTAAGAAAACATCCAATATTTTAAAATGGGCAATATGTTTGAATAGACCTATTCCATCAAAGAAGATATATGGGTGGCAAAAAAGAAATGAAAATTGCTCAATAGCATTAGTTACAGAAATGTAATTTAAAAGCACAATGATATACAACTAAACACCTATTAGTATAGTAAAACTAAAAGTAACAAGTTAACCATACCATTACAAAGATATGGAGTAATTAGAACTTTCATAATGGAAAGTTAAGAATGCAAAGTGGTATGTGTATTTAAGAAAGCATTTGAAGATTTGTTATAAAGTTAAAACATGCACTCATGCCCTAACCAGTTTGGCTCAGTGGATAGAGTGTCGGCCTGCAGACTGGAGGGTCCCAGGTTCGATTCCGGTCAAGGGCATGTACCTGGGTTGCGGGCACATCCCCAGTAGGCAGCTGATCGATGTTTCTCTCTCATCAATGTTTCTAACTCTCTATTCCCTCTTCCTTCTTCTCTGTAAAAAATCAATAAAATATATTAAAAAAAAAAAAACCATGCACATACAACTCAGCAATTCAAGTAAATTAAAAGATGATCACATAGAGCCCTATTATGAGAATATTTATAGCAGCCTTACTCATAATCTATTGGAAACAGCCCATCTTTTTCAGTTGGTGAATGGCCAAACAACCGTGGTGCATCCACATAATGGGATAATGCTTTGTAATATAAAGGATTGCGCATCTAATCTTGCAAGTACAGAAGTGAATCTCAAATGCATTATGCTAGGTGAAATAAGCTGTACTCAGAGGCTGTGATCCCATTATGACATTCTGGAAAAAAAGCATTATAGGGATAGAAAACAGATCAATGGTTAGCTGGTAGAAGGTGGTTGAGGGATGGGGACTGGGAGAGTTGATTACAAAGTGGCATGAGGGAATATTGGAGGTAATGGAACTTTTCTATGTCTTTACTGTGGTGATAATTACATGGTTAATATTTGTATTGATCAAACCTCATTCAGCTGTGCACTTATAAGGATGAGTTTTAACATATGTAAGTTATATCCAGTAATTCTAACTTACAGAAATAATTTCTGTGATTAATATCAGCTTAGCACAACAGAGAATAGATCAATGTACCTGACATGAGGACAATAGAAACCAACCAGATGAATTGAAAGAAATATTTTTTATTATATCTAGAAAGACAACCTGGGGAACAACTAGCAGTCAGATATGCATGGAGAATAGCAAGGAGTCAAGTATGCATATCATTGGAGTTCAGAAAGAGAGGAGAAACAACAGTATAGATGATTATTTGAATAATTATCCACATTTGATCCAAAACAACCACCCCACAAGTCCAGGAAATTCAGTGACCCTAGCAGGATAAATAAATTTAGAAATTTTACCAAGAACACCCCGCTGAAGTAACCAATCATGGTAAAACTTCTGAAAACAAACAAAAAGCAGCCAGTGTGAGGGGGAAAGCAACACCAACATATTACATTCGCCCCACCCCTCTCAGTAAGAATGACAGCTGACTTCTCTTAAGGAACTTGTAACTAGAAGACAATAACATCTACTAAAGTGCTGACAGAAAAATAAAACAGGACACCTAGAAATCTCTGTCAAGGGAAAATATTACTAACCTACAGGTCTGAGTGTCTGCCCCCTGGTGGTCAGTGCACATCTTAGCGACTGGTCGAGCAGTAGAATGATGGAACTATGGGTCAGACACTTAGCTTATTACACTTTTATTATATAGGATAGGATTACTGGCTATATTCCCTATGCTGTACTTTACATCCCCATGACTATTTTGTAACTGCCAATCGGTACTTCTTAATCCCTTCATCTTTTAAGGAGAAATCTTTTAAAACTGAAGGTGAAATAAGAACTTTTTAAGATAAACTAAAGCTAAGAGAATTGTCACCACCCCACCTGCACTACAAGAATTGCTAAAGGACGTTCTCTTGGCTGAGGGGAAAAGATACCTGATGGACATTCAGGTCGACATGCAAAGAGGAAGAGCTCACTTCCAGTTTATTCTCATAAGATGCTCTCTGTACTTACTGCCAGTCAGTGTTTTATTTTTTTCCAAATTCTGCCAAACCCATTACTGGATTCTGAAATCAGTCTAGAAGGTCAGCACCAAGGTTTTTGTTCTTGAGAAGTAGAGTACAATGGGAAATACCAGAGTCTAAGTATTAACTTTTAACTTTATGTCAGGCCTGTAGGATTACATACTGGTTTACAAAGGAAAATGTAGTTTTTGGTTCCTGGGTTGGAATCCAAAACGTATGGAAACACTGCCCTGACTCCTTGGCCGTTCTGTGTCTTGAATATCCCAGTTCTTGTATGTTGTCAGTCCCTGAGAACCTTCTCTCTGCATCTCTGCAGAGCCAGCTGCTTTCCAGCTTTCACATTTGAGCGGAAGCATTTTCTCATCACAAGAGCCTCTCCTAGGAGCCTTTGTACAGAGCAGGGCACTGGACTCAGTGTCAGCGTGAAATTGTAACAGAGCCCTAGGGCCAAAGAGCACCCAAAGGCTGTGTTTGAACTTACTAGGAAATTGTCCCTGGGAGGCAGACCTTTCTCAAAACTTGTCAATAATGGGGCGAAATGTAGGAAAGCCAATAAACCTAATGACATCTCTTCTAGGTGGGAAAAGATGGTTGGATTGTGCGAAATCTATTTACCTGGAATTAAAATGCACGAATAAAGTTTTTAAAAGAAGATGAACATCCTGCCGTCCATTCCTGGCCTCTCTGTTCACAGTGGAAATGACGACCTTGCACTCGGTTTTCTCTCCTAGGCTAAAACAGCTTTTCATTAATTCTGAAATTTCTTCACTTTTCAGTGGTCAAATGTCCATATCCATCACTCCCTGATGGAACTATTGTGTCAGGATTTGGGAAAAAATACTACTACAAAGCAGAAGTTCAGTGAATTAAAATGCACGAATAAAGTTTTTAAAAGAAGATGAACATCCTGCCGTCCATTCCTGGCCTCTCTGTTCACAGTGGAAATGACGACCTTGCACTCGGTTTTCTCTCCTAGGCTAAAACAGCTTTTCATTAATTCTGAAATTTCTTCACTTTTCAGTGGTCAAATGTCCATATCCATCACTCCCTGATGGAACTATTGTGTCAGGATTTGGGAAAAAATATTACTACAAAGCAGAAGTTCAGTTTGAATGCAACCAGGGTTATTCCCTTGAAGGCAGCCGCAAAATTGTCTGTGAAGCTAATAATGCCTGGGTACCCGAGATTCCTCGCTGTGTTAAAGGTACAGAGTGTCTTCTACCTTTTTGTTGTTGTTTGGATTTGATATCTTTGAAATATAAATGACAGGGTAATTGAAGTGAAGCACTTTTAGTATTTATGTCTTATCATGACACATGTAGAATTCACAAAGAATTCTGCTTTTGTTACTTGTGTATTTTCATAGGGTTGGCACATTATGTATATCACACAAGTTATAAAGTTTTCTTCTTTGACTTTATGTGGAAAACTGTATAGCAGCCATCTTTAAGAAAATTGAAGCATGGGTATTTTCATCTGAATAAGTTTAGAATGAAAAGACTTTAATTCCTAAGTGGTTAATTCAGTTGAAATTATTTTCTCTTCTAGTGGTGACTTCTCCTCCCAGTACCACACCTCCGATTTTGAGTCCTTCAGGTTTAGTAACATCCTGCTTACATTTTCAAAACTCTTTTGAATTCTTGGTGCTAATGCCAGCGATAACTCCCAAGTAATTTGATCCACTCTACATTATTTTGTTTTCCAGTGTCAACTCCTCCCAGCACAAACCCTCCAATTTCCAGTGTCACAGGTTTAGTAACTTCCTACTTATATTTTTTCAAAACCTTTTAAATCCCTGGTGATTTTTAGAAATCATTTTAATTCCTAAATATTTTTTCATAATCCTTTAACTATCTGGTGATTTACACTCATTCATCATTTTTAGTAATAAAAGGAGGAAGCACATCTTTACAGCCATCCTACTTGTTTTACGTAATGATTCTAAACTGATTTGCCACAACTTGGCAAGTTATGTAAACCTTAAATGTGTTTATTTACATGTAAAATTGTTCAATGCCTTCCTCACTGGATGGCAGGAACCTTTAAGTGGGATCCATTAAACCATTTAGCACAGTATCTGGCATATCCTAGTAGGAAGTTGTTAAAGGAAGCTACATGCCTTAACAGCATCACTCCAGTTCGTCAGTGAACAAGAAGATCCATGGCTTCTGTTTTTTAATGTTTGTTTTCTGTCATCATCATTGCTATTTTATCCATTTTAAAAGTGTTCTATCTGGTGACACCTTTATAGGGTATCTTTCTGATCCAGGACAAAGTTTCATTTCCTGGACTGCAAACAGTTTCATTCTTTTTCTATAGCGCAATTTCAACTGGTACTTTCGGATGGTGTCTCTAGAACAAGACCTGTATTGCTACTACCCTCCACTCGCATCTCATACAGTTATTCTTTTTGTCTTTACTGGGTCCCTTCCTTTGTTTTTCAATCCTCACCTGAGGATTTTTTTATTGATTTGAGAGAGAGAGAAAGAGAGAGTGAGTTATCAATTGGTTGCCTCCCATATGCAACCCAACTGTGGATCAAACCCACAACCTAGGTGTGTGCCCTGCCTGGGAATTGAACCTCAACCTTTTGGTATATGGGAACATGTTGTAACCAACTGAACCACCTGGCCAGGGCTTCACTAGCATTTTCATTTGGGAATAGAAACTAAATTTTATAGCAACTGAAATACAGGGAAAAACTTATTGAAATGAAATGGAGGACTTGTTGCATGGACTACTCATCAATGGCTCAGCCTAAGACTTGAGAGATTATTTTCATGTGGTGGAAGGAGTTGTCATCCTGATTTCAGTACTGCTTTCTTTGGCTTCTTGGTTTCAGCAGAAACAAGAGACAGGAGCAGTAGTGGGAAGACCGTTAGCCTGGGCTGACCTCACTCAGGGCCCTCAATTGGTTCTACTTTCTCATGGAACATCATTTCTGTGGGCTTTAATTTCCTGTTGGTTGAGGGTGTTGAACTCATATCTCAATCAGTGGCTTTCAGTTTGCTTGTATATTTTCTGTTTTCCTAAGACCTTAAAAATTGAGGGAAGTTACGCATGTTAACATGGTAATTAGAACACCTTTTTATAATCCCTGTGTATCTGGCCCCTGGTAGCCTCCTTGAGTATCAGGTAGCCTCAGTTGAGCGCTGTGAGGTTTGGGGAGTGGGGTGAGAAGAGATGGTTTTTGCATGTGAAGTTTATACTCATTGGCCCATCGTGTTTATGCACATGTCCTAGTGGGTATATGCACTGTGGGATACTGTTTGTTGATACGCTTTTGAATGAGTGACCATGAGAATTCATAAAGGGTTTATAAAACACCTTTACAATTTAGCATTTGAAAGAAGAGGAGCAAATTGATTGTGAGATGTTTCTAAACTATAGGGTTTTTAATTATTTTTATTCTTTATTGTTGAAAGTATTACATATGTCCACTTTTTCCCCCTCTTTACCCCCTCCATTCCCCTCCACCCCAGGCCTTTAGCACCCTATTGTCTGTGTCCATGGGTTATGCTTATATGCATGCAAAGTCTTTGGTTGATTACCTCCCATCCACCCACCCTCTCCCGCCTTCCCTCTGAGATTCTGTTCCATGCTTCCATGTCTCTGGATCCACTCAGTTCATCAGTTTAAATATCAAAAATCAAAATTCTTCATGTACCTGTAAAATATATTTTGTTATTAAAGAAAGAATTAGTAGTAACATGTAATAGTGATAAGGTATATCTAATTCTGCTCATATTAAAAAATACCCAAGAAGTGCTGAGGGAAAAGAAAAGGATAGAAATTATGTACTGTAGCATAATGCTGCTTGAATGGTATTTTTAAAAAGATACATATATTTAGCCCTGGCTGGTATGGCTGGGTTGGTTGAGCATCCTCCCAAGCACCTAAAGGGTTGCTAGTTCGATTCCTGGTCAGGGCACGTTCCCAGGTTGCAAGCTCAATCCACTGTCGGGATGTGTTCTGGAGGCAGCTGATCAATGTTTCTCTCATATGGAGGTTTCTTTCTGTCCTTGTTTCTTCCTCTCTCTCTAAAAATCAATAAAAACATATTTCAAAAAATATTAAGATACAAATGTTAATTCTGAATACTTTTTTTTACTATTATTAAATAACTTGTGATTTCCATTGCAAAATATAAAACTGTAGTGAAGACTGTTATGCATACATTGTTATGTATTTTTAAAATATATATTTAGGTTAAATGCCAAGAAGTAGAATTGCAAAGTTCAGAAAGTATCTGTATTTTTTATGTTAATGACTAATTAACATTTTTATAAATAAAAATTCAACCCATAGTATATTGATAAGGCTGGTGAATGGAATCAAATTTACTTTTCCAGGTGTCACACCTAGTCCACCAACCAAGCCTCCAGTTTCAAGTGGTCCAGGTTCAAAAACTCTTTGTTCTACTTCTGTTAAGTTTATAATGTGACGGGTGGAACATTTTCATGTTATGTATTAATTTGCATTCTTTTAATGATCAGATAAGCTTTTTTGTCTAAATTACTTATTCATGTCCTTTATTTTGTTAGGTTTCTGAATTATTTGTGTTGATTTATCAGAACTTTATATAAATTAAAGCCCCTTGCAGTGGTTCTCAACCTTCCTAATGCCGTGACCCTTTAATACAGTTCCTCATGTTGTGGTGACCCCCAACCATAAAATTATTTTCGTTGCTACTTCATAACTGTAATTTTGCTATCGCTATGAATCCTAATGTAAATATCTGATATGCAGGGTGTGTTTTCAGGGGTTGCGATCCACAAGTTGAGAACCGCTGCCTGAAAGGAACATTTTTTTCTAGTTTCCCCCCCTCCCCCCCATTATTTTTCCCAGTTTCCTTTTAAGATTTTTACACTATTGGATATAGATTACTTTATATAACTACTTTCAATTACATAAGTAGTGTATATGAATATAAATTTCAAACATTATAGAGTAAAAGAATCTTCTCTTAGTCCATTATATCTGTTTCTATACATCAATATCTTGTATGTGTAGATCTACATATTTTGGCAGTTTTTCTTTTATTTTACACAGAAATGGCATCATGCTGTTGATATTTTTCTAACACTTTTTACACTTACCATCTTAGATTGGGTTAGGGTTAGGGTTAGCGGTTGAGCATTGACCTATGAACATGGAGGTCACGGTTCGATTCCATGTCGGGTGGGACACATGCCTCGGTTGCGGGCTCCATCCCCACTGTAGGGCATGCAGGGGACAGCCGATCAATGGTTCTCTCATCATTGATGTTTTTTTCTCTCTCTCTCTCCTTTTCCCTTCCTCTCTAAAATCAATAAAAATATTTAAAAATTAAAATATATTTTTAAAAAAAGATTGGGGTTTGTATTTAGACTTGGTCCCATCATTTTAATGGTGACTTTAATATATGCCATATTTTACTCTATCAGTGGTCATGGATATGTGCAGAAGCTTCACATGAATAGGTAGCTAGCTATATTGATCACTTCCCTAATGGCTATGGGTGTTACCATTGTCTGTCTTATAAAAGCTTTAGATCTTCTCAATACTCAAATTACATAAACATTTCAACCATGTGTTCTGGTTGCATTCTTTGCATTTAAATTGTTGGTACATCTGAAATACTTACGTTATATGGAATGAGATACAGTTCCTTTACACTGCACCCACTCTATTTGTTCAGAAGTTGTCTTCTCTCCAACTGTTTTGAAATGCCAATTTTTATCATACATTTTATATTCCCACTGCCAGTACACAAAGGTTCCAATTTTTCCGCCCTTTACCAACCTTATTATTTTCTGTTTGTTTTTTTTTGTACTAGCCATTTTAATGTATATGAAGTGGAATCTCATTGTTATTTTTGTTAGCATTTCCTAATGATTAGTGTTCATATTTTTTAAAATATATTTTTATAGATTTCAGAGAAGAAAGGAGGAGAGAGGGAGAGAAACATCAATGATGAGAGGGAATCATTGATCAGCTGCCTCCTGCATTCCCCCCACTGGGGATGGAGCCTGCAACCTGGGCATATGCCCTGACGAGAATTGAACCCTGACCTTCTGGTTCATAGGTCGACGCTCAACCACTGAACCACACTGGTCCGGCAGTGATCATATTTTTATATGCTTATTGATGTTTTGTATAGCTTCTTTGGGGAAATGTCTATTCAAGTCCTTTGCTCATTTTTTTATTTGGTGTGTTTTTGTTGTTGCTACTGAGTTTTAGATGTTCATTATGTATTTTAGATATTAATCCCTTGTCAGTTGTATGATTTGCAGATGTTTCCTCCCATTCTTGGATTGCCTTTTTACTCTATTGATAGCGTCGTTTGATAAACAAGCGATTTTAATTTTGATGAAGTCCCATGTATCTATTGTTTTTCTTTTGTTGCCTGTGTTTTTGGTGTCACATTGCCAGGTCCAACATTATGAAGCCTGTCCTCTGTTTTGTTCTCAAGAGTTTTACAGTTTTCGCTCTTATGCTTAGTTCTTTGATCCATTTTGAATAAATTTTTGTGTACGGTAAAGGCAGGAGACCAACTCCCTTCTTGTGTGTGTAGATATCCAGTTTTCTAAGAACCACATGTTGAAAGACTGCTTTTTCCCTTTAGATATTCTTAGCATCCTTGTGCACATTTGACCATATATGTGAGGGTTCATCTCTGGGCTTCTATTCATTTGGTTTGTCTTTTTGCCTGTATCACTGTGTTTTAATTCTTATAGCTTTTTAGTCAGTTTTAAAATCAGGAAGTTTGAGTCCCCTCAACTATGCTGTTGTGTAGTAGTTTCAGGATTGTCTAGGCAATTTTTAGATCCTTGGATTTTAAGAATTATAAATTGGGCCCTACCTGGTTGGCTCAGTGGATAGGCGTAAACCTGAGGACTGAATGGTCCTGGGTTCGATTATAAGTTGGATTTTTCTATTTCTAAAGAATGCATATTCAAGATGATGATAGGATGCATGTAATCTGTAGGTTTTTTATAATATTAGCACAGGATATCTTTCTATTTATTCATGTCATCTATTTCTTTCAGCTGTTTCGTACTTTCCAGTGTAGGAGTCTTTCACCTGCTTGGTTGTTTTTTCCTATTTTATTTTTTATGCTATTGTAAATGGAATTGTTTTCATAATTTCCCTTTTGGATTGTTCATTTTTAGTTCTAGAAATGCAACTGATTTTGGGGTGTACATTACGTAGCCTGCAACTTTGCTGAATTTATATTTTAGTTTCAACAGGTTTATGTTTGTGTGTGTAATCTTTAGAGTTTTCTATGTAAAAGATCATGTCATCTGCAACAGAGATAATTTTAGTGCTTCCTTCCCAATTTGGGTGCTGGTTATTTATATTTTTTTGCCTTATTTCTTTGACTAAAACTTCCAATATGATGTTCAGTAGAAGTAGGAAATGCAGGCATCCTATCTTGTTCCTGATCTTAAGGGGAAAACTTTCATTCCTTTACCATTGAGTATGATAATAGCTATTGGTTTTTCATAAATGGCCTTATGTGTAAGTTTCCTTCTACTATAGATTAACTTCTAAATCCTTTTAAGCCTTCCTGTTTGTTTGTTTGTTTATTGATTTTAGAAAGGATTGGAGAGGGAGAGAATCCTTGATTGGTTCCCTCCTGCATGCCCCACACTGGGGATCAAGCCCACAACCTGGGCATATTCCCCAACTGGGAATGGAACCATGACCTCTTGGTGCATAGGTCGAAGCTCAATCACTGAGCCACGCCAGCCAGGCCCTATGTCTTTTAATTTTATGTAGAATCACATCAATCCATAGGCTAATTTTGATGTTAATCTAATGATAAATTTAATTACTGTACCATAGAATATTGTCATAGGACATGTTACTGGACAGGAAGAAGAATTCTGATGACAGTGAATATAAATTTATAATATTTTATGATATTTGGAAAAGAAACTAATATAATTTATGTGAAGAAAATAAAATTGAGAGTTTTTATTCAAAGGTAAAAATTCTAAACTTATAATTTAGAGGTCTTAATCTTTGTTATTGTCTTCTTTCCCTTTTTACTTACTTTTTTTCTTTTGTTCTAGGACGTCCCACTCCTGATGAAACACCATCTCAATCATTAGGTATTATTTTAATTAGTAATGCTCTGCAGTATGAGATATTAAAGTTTTACATGGAAATATATTTTGATTACCTGTAGTTTAAGAAGGTATAATCAATCTATCACTAATGTGTGAGAATTAATATTTGGTAATTTTACTAGTAATAGTGTAGATACCATGACAAATATAAACAGTAGTATGTGTAGACACATGTAATTAATACAGTTTTTAAGAGGATTCCTTGTAAGGTGAGGTAACTTTCTCAAATGCTGTATTTATTTATAGGTTAAAATTTGTAGGCTATAACTTCTTTCCATGTGATAGTGTCATTTTGTGGCAACTGGTAGGTAAATTTTCTTTTTATTCATACCTTGTATACACACGCCTTAACGTACTATAAGTTGGGTTAATTTTTTTTTCCCCATAACATATCTGGTGTATCACACTTTATGTAGACTTACATAGTACACACAATATATATTCAAGAAAATGATCATTATTGTTCTGTCATTTAAATGAAGTATAAGGATTTTTGATGAATAAAACAAAAATGGGTATTACTTTTCTTTACATTAGACTAGTTTAGTAAGGTTTGTTTTTTTTATAAAACGCACCTTAGACTCGTTAAGTTTCCCCTCTGAACGCTGTGGTGCCAGTAAATCCAGAGCACCTTCATTCATCAAACACTTGACAATTTTTTTTAATGAAATAAAAAGCGAAGAGGTAAACAAGACATTGTATTCTTTGGCTCATACAAATTTAATTAAGATGTAATTAAGGTTTTATATAATTATTTATTGCTCTCTTGATAGTAAAAAAATACTTAAGTTTTTAAGCATAATTTTATCCATGTGCCCTGGTATTTCTTTTACATTCTTAGAATCTCCTTGGTATGTCTTAATTTGAAGGTGGGCGTGCATGAGGAAGGATTGATGATAAGATAATGTATTATTTGTGAAAATTCAACATACTACATTTCTGCGATAAATTAATAGAACTTTATTATGACTTATTCCACAGACCCACTGCTGTTGGTGAAAAAATATAATTTTGTAATAAAGTTATAAGAAATGATAGGCTGAATACTTAACTATATCAACTAAGATGGAATAATACATTTTTAAAATGATTTTCCCACTAATCTAGTGAATTCTAATTGTTCTAATAATATTTACTAATAACCTAGTGTGGTAGCTACAGCACAAAACAGTGTTGGGGCCCTAAGCTGGAATCTGATTAGAAGGGCTCTGTGATCAAATGAGCTGGATGCACTGTCACACTAAACTAGACTGATAAACTTTTTTTTTTGCTATAGTTTATAGATGATTTGATTAACTAAAATGTAATTGCCACCTGGAGACACACATGTGCTCAGTTATCTTCAAACTGGTTTTATTTTTCTCAGGTGCTGGAGCCATTGCTGGCATTATTATTGGTATATGTAAGTGTCCCAACTTGTATCCCACTTAAAATATTAATGTGAGGAGCATTATTTGTGTAATGGTTTTTCAATTTCTACAGTTTTTATAGCTTGAAATTAAGTAAACCAGTCAGAAACACCTCACCTTTTATATGAGACTAGAGGCCCAATACGCGAAATAGCGTGAGACCAAGACCTGCCGTGCCGTGAGACCCATCAATGCACCTCCTGGTGACTGGTCGTCTGGTCATGACAGCATTACGGTCACTGGCTTTTTATAATATAGATACTGCCTTGTGTTGCTGATTATATATTCATTTATATTTTATATGTATGAGTCTTCATCTCAAATATGCTTTGGGTATCTTTTTAAATTGGGAAAGGACTCTTCTCTGGCTTACTGTGGATTAAGTGATACCAGAGACTTGCACTTAGACAGTGAAGAGTCCAGATGGAACAAATGAATGGCCAGGGCAATGTGCTTAAATAAAATAGCATTTTCTGCCGTAGCCGGTTTGGCTCAGTGGATGGAGCGTCGGCCTGCGGGTTGAAGGGTCCCGGGTTCTATGCTGGTCAGGGGCATGTACCTTGGTTGCAGGCACATCCCCAGTAGGGGGTGTGCATGAGGCAGTTGATCAATGTTTCTCTCTCATCGATGTTTCTAACTCTCTATCCCTCTTCCTTCCTCTCTGTAAAAAAAATCAATAAAATATATTTTAAAAAGTAAAAAAATAAAATAAAATAGCATTTTCTGCCCACTGAACATAAATTTCTTCTGCTAGATTTTGAATCTTGGTGATTAGTTTTCAATTACATTTCATTTGTTCTCTGGTTTATTGTAGGTGTTTTCTTGGGACTCATCGTTCTTTGCTGCTTTATGTACCATAAGAAGAAGAGGAAAGGGTAACGTACAGCACGTTTCTTGAACATATTGGTGCCTCTCCCTCTTGACGTACTTTTGTGCAGCTTGTGTTTACACTCTATTGCATGCATTTTTTTTCAATGTGCCTACATGACTGTGCATTCAGAATTGCATTTCTTTACTAAAAATATTTACAGCAATTTTTACTATCGTAACAAGAGAAATCTGTGTAGAGTTGCTTCAGCTATATGTCTGTAAGAAAAATTTGTGTGATTTGGGGTTTCAGTTCTGCAACAAATCATGGACCATGATGGGACCTTCCCTACTGTAGGTAAACCCTACATTCCAAATTAGGCTGGTGGCCAGAATTAAATTTAAAATTGTTCACTGTGGAAATTTTGACAGGTATATTCACTGGAACTTTTTTATGAAAACGTTCCGTTTGTTTTTATTAAGTAGTTGTAAGAAGCTATGTAGATGTCATCAAATTCTTTTTCATTTAGAGTTATTATTTATACTAGTTGGGAATTAAAAGCAACACTATTTGATTTCCCTCTTATGTTCTCTTAATTTACTAGGTTGCAGAAAAACTGATGGGGGTTAAACTTGCTGAGAGGGGTAAGATTTATAAGGCACCTCATTAACTTTGTCTTTTTATTTATAAAAAATGAAAAAAGATGGGAAACTTAGAAAATAATAATGTATAAATCCTAAGGTCACAGGGTTTGTAAACATTAATCTTATAATTTCGAATAAAACAATTTATAATTTAATGAAAGAGAATAAATCCTGGAGCACAGACAAGATTAGGTACTTTGAAATTTGATTTTTAATTATTCATTCTTCCCAATTACTTTGGAAATAGCTTTGAAATCAAACCAATACTTCTTTTTAATCCTCACCCGAGGGTATGTTTATTGATTTTTAGAGAGGAACATCCCTATCAATTGCCCCTCGTATGTGCCCTGACCAGGAATCGAACCCACAATTTTTTGGTGTACAGAACGATGCTCAAACCAGTAATTTTAAGAATCTTGGTATTCATGATTTTATGATATAGTTTTTTCTTATATTAATCATTGTGTTTAGACTATGTAGTAAAAGTATGTTCTACACTTATAAAGAGCTCAAACTTCATTATATTATTAGGTTTAAGTACTCACAGTGCCTTCATTTGAGTCTTCAATCTTATATTTGTAGAACACATGCTATTTCCCTCTTAGTAGTATTTTTTAAATTATCCATACACATCAGCCTGAGTAGGAAGTACTTTTACAATTCCAAAAGGTTCATGTAGAAATAATTTCTAAAGAAAGCAAAGTAATATAGCATTGTATCCCTCACTTTTCTTCTTTGTTTAAAACGTCACTGCATCATAATACTTAAAGATTCTTAAACAAGTTTGAATCAAACACTCTAGCTATCAACTAAAGGTTCTTTTAAAGCTGAAGAAGTATCTGAGCACTGTAGCCCCGGATTCAGTGTTCAGTACCATAACTGATCTGAGATTCCATTTCTGATGAGCCCTATGTGATGATGATGCTGGGCCTGGACTACAGTTCGAGTAACCAGGGTGAAGACTATTAGTGATGTGCCAGTATACTTTCAATTTGAGGAAATACAGTAAAGTTTATAGGCAAATTTTTCTCTTGCTTAAGATAGATTTTTTAAAGACTCCTTAAGAGTATTTGGGATAAAACTTAGTTTTACCTTGCTTTTTTAAAAACTAAATATTTATATTCTTTGCACTGTTTAGTGTTCATAGTCTGTGTTCCTCCCTTCCTGCAGATTGGTTGTGGTTGCCTTAGAAACTCCTTTTCAGAACTATAAGATGCATGCAGTTTCTTCCCCATTTGTAGGGGTAACTCTGGAAGCAGGACACCAGGCACAGATAATCCCAATTGCTGTTTAAACTAGGCACAAATTGGATTTGATGTAAACTTGTATTTATGATGATTTGGGAATGCAATAGCCCTTCTGCGGACTTCATGCCAAAGTACAAAGAGGTACAGGATGTCCGTGGCATAGGTGAACACTGAACTCCCTCTTCCCATGAGCACATCAAAATTTGCACCTATATAGAGAGCAGTAACTCCTGATAGGCAACTGAGGGCTCATTGAACAGCTTCTGAAGAACAAACAAGAGGAGGAGACCAAATAGAGAAATGGGAAACCACAGGGGTTCTCCCGAACCTGCAGGAAATCTGTGAGAGGAGGTGCAGGTAAACTCCATTGTATACATCGCCCTCCCCCTCGATAAGGTGAGTGGGAGCTCTCTCTGGGTGCTTTGGCCCACCAGCAAGATGGCTGCAGTGTGTTCTCAACCACATTCCCTGTAGCCCATTTTGGGTCTGAATAAAAGGAGTAAGCAGTATGAACAAGGTGTCCCTGACCGGAGCTCTTCCATCCTGACAGTCTAGAGTGCTATGCGCCTGCCTGGCTCCACCTGGCCTGCCAACACTACCCAGTACTCACAACTACTCACTTTTTACACAACAAAAGGGGGAGAGACCTGGTAGAGAAGATGAGCTGCAAGAGCAGTATGGAAATCTCTGAGGTTGGAGTTGCCAGTGAGCACCATTGTATATCCTCTACACCTTGAAAGAGTGGGCGGAGCTCTAACTAGGTGCTCGGGCCTACCTGCAAGTTTGCTGCATCTCATTTTCAGAATTATCTGAACCAAAGCGGGGAAACAGGATCACTAGGGCACACACCTGACCTCCCCACCTGGAGCCTCTCCATCTCCGTAGCCCCATGCCTCAGGCACTATAGGCATCTGCATGGGTCCCAGTACCCCACCAACAACCACCCGACACACATCCTACACAGAGGCCACTTTGTGAAGACGGAGAGAGCGCTATTTGGTCTAATTGATATTAACGAACATAGAAAATGACACAATGAAAACATAAAAGAATATCTCAAATGAAGAGACAAAAAGTCTCAGAAAAAATCCTAATGAATGGAGAGAAGTATTCTGCCTGATAAAAAATTTAAAGAGACAGTCATAAGGATGCTTATCCAACTTGAGAGTGGAGTCGAGGAACTTAGGGAGAACTTCAGCAAAGAGTAAGTATGCTGAAGAATGCAACCACTGAGACGAACAATAAACACAGGGATCAACAGCAGTTTAGCTGAAACAGAAGAATCAGTGACCTGTAAGACAGGCTAGTGGACATGAACCAATAAGAACAGCAAAAAGAAAAGGATTTTTTAAAATGAGGCTAGCTTAAGGGATCTCTAGGACAACATCAAGTGCACTAAGAATCTCAGAAGAAAAAAAAAGGGAATGGTACAGAAACTTTATTTGAACAAGTAATAGCTCAAAACTTTCCTAACATGGGAAAGGAAACAGACATCCAGGTCTAGGATGCGCAGAGAGTCCCGATATAGGAGCGCCTAAATATATAAAGCAAATGCTGTCTTCAGAGGGAGAAATTCACAGCAATACAATAATAGTAAGGGATTTTAACACCTGCATTCACATCAATGAACAGACCATCCAGACAGAAAATTAATAAGAAAATAATGCCCTTAAGTCTCACATCAACCCAATCGAGTTAGAACATTTCATCCAAAACTGCAAAGTACACATTTTTTCAAGTGCAGATAGAATACTACTCTCCAAGATAGATCATATTTTATGCCCCCCAAATTCAAAAAGATTGAAATCATGTCAAGCAAACTTTCGAACACAGTGGCATAAAACTAGAAATCACCCACAGGAAGAAAACTGGAAAAATACAAATATGTGGAGACTAAATACTAGCTTCTATACAATCAATGGATTAAAGAGAAAAATAAACAGGAAATGAAACGCTGTCTTGAGTCAAATGAAATTGAAGACACAACTAAAATTTATGGAATGCAGCAAAGCAGTTGTGGGTGGGAAGTTCATAGCTATACAGGCCTACATCATGAAACAAGAAAAATCCCAAATAATCTAACTTTACACCTGTGGGGACTAGAAAGAACAAACAAAACCTAAAGTAAGCAAAGGAAAGAAATCCTTAAAATCAGAGCAGAAATAAACGAAATAGGAAAAAAGAAAAGAATGTAAGAGCTGGTTCTTTGAAAACGAAACAAAATCGACAAACCTTTAGCTAAATTCATCAAGCGAAAAAGAGAACCCAATGAAATACATAAACGAAAAAGAAGTTACAAATGACACCAAAGAAATACACAGAATAATTAAAGAATATTGTGAATGTATGCCAAAAAAATGCCACAGTCTGGAAGAAATGGATGCATTTCTAAAAGCACACATACAATCTTCCAAGACAAAACCAGGAAGATATAGAAAGTCTAAACAGATAAGTTACTAGCAATGAAATTGAAATGGGTTGGGGGGTAAAATAAAACTGCAGGATCAGAGGGCTTACAGGTAGATTCTAAATATTTAAAGAAGTAATACCTGTGCCCTAGCCAGTTTTGCTCAGTGGATAGAGCATTGGCTTGTGGACTGAAGAGTTCTGGGTTCGATTCCAGCTAATGGTACATGCCTGGGTTGTGGGCTTGATCCTTAGTAGGGGGTGTGCAAGAGACAGCTGATCAATGATTCTGTCATCCACCAAAAATTAATAGAAAAGAATGAGTAAAGTAGCAGGATACTAAATATACAGAGATTCATGGCATTCTTAAACAACAGTAATGAACAATCAGAAGGATCAAACAGCATAAAATACCTTGGAATAAGTTGAATCAAAGAGGTCAAAAACCTGTATCCTGAAAGAAACTGAAGAGGATACAAATAAATAGAAAGATATATGCTTAGTAATTGTTAAAAAAAAAAAAATTCTTAAAGTTTCATTTGCTTTCAAGGTCTTAAATGAGAGGTATCAAACTTCCTTATTTTAAACTAGACTACAAAGCAATAATAATTAAACAATGTGGTACTAGAATAAATACACCTAAACAATAGAATAAAATAGCCCAGAAATTCTCACTTAAATGGTCAGTTAATTTATGATAAAGGAGCCAATACAATGGGTGTAAAGACAGGTCTCTTCAAAAGGAGGTGTTGGGCCCTGACCAGTTTGGCTCAGTGGATAGAGCGTCGGACTAAAGGGTCCTGGGTTCGATTCCGGTCAAGGGCACGTACCTTGGTTGCAGGCACATCCTCAGTTGGGGGTGTGCAGGAGGCAGCTGATCGATGTTTCTCTCTCATTGATGTTTCTAACTCTCTATCCCTCTCCCTTCCTCTCTGTAAAAAATCAATAAATTTTTTTTTTTTTTTTAAAAAGGAGGTGTTGGAAAAATTGAGAGTTGCATGCAAAAAAAGTAAAATTGGACCAATTTCTTATACCAGATACAAAAATAAGCTCAAAATGGATTAAAGACTTAAATATAAGATCTGATTCCCTGAAATTCCTAGAAGGAAACATAAGTAGTAAACTCTTTGACATCAGCCTTAGCAAATATCTGTTTGGATATGTCTCAGGAAAGGGAAACAATAGCAAAAATAAACAAATGGGACTACATTTAAGTAAAAAGTTTTTGCAGAGTAAGGAAATCGTCAAGAAAATAGCCAGCCTACTGAATGGGAGAAAATATTTTCCAATATTCAATAAGAGGTTAATATCCAAATACATAGGGAACTCATACAGCTTAACATCCAAACAACCCAATTTAAAAATGAGCAGGGGACTTGAGCAGACATTTCCCCAAGGAGAACGTACAGATGGCCAACAGGCATATGAAACGATGCTCAACATCACTAGTCATCCGGGAAATGCAGGTTAGAATCACAAGGAGATACACCTCACACCTGTTACAGTGGCTATCAAGTCCGTGCTGGCAAGGATGTGGACGCCGGCAATGTTGGTGGGATTGTAGACTGGCACAACCACTATGGAAAACAGTATGGACATTCCTCAGAAAATTCAAAATAGACTTACTATATGACCCAGCAATTCCACTTCTGGATGTTTGTCCAGAGAAAACAAAATTACTAATTTTTAAAGATATATACAGCCTTATGTTCATTGCAGTATTATTTATAGTGGCTAAGATATGGAAGCAACCTAGGTGTCCATTGATAGGTGAATGTGTAAAGAAGATATGGTTAATATATACAGTGGAATGTTACTTCGCAATAACGAAAAACAGAATGATTTTGTCATTTGCAACAATGTGTTGAGTCTACAGGGTATTATGCTAAGTGAAATATGTCAAAGACAAAATACCATGTGATTTCATTTATATGTGGAATCTGAAAAATACAAAACAAATGAATAAAGAAAACAAAACAGACACAAACCCATAGATACAGGGAATAAGCTGAGGGTTGCCAAAAGGAGAGGGATTTGGGATGATAGGTGCATTGAAATGAAGAAATGAAATGAAACACGAAATTGTAAAGAATGAGACATAGTATAGCAAAACAAACAAAATGTCCATATACATGTAAGAATTGATTACACCTTAGACTTCTTTGGAGACATTACTGCTAGAATGTACAAGGCAACATTTGGTAGAGGGTATGTGAGGGCAGGAGAATACATTAGACTCTAATGATTAGAGGCCCTTGTATCATTTTCTAAAAAGCACATGATTGGGAGTCTGTTTGGGATAATGTCACCAAAAATTATTACATACGAGGAAACTACTATCAAAAGAAAACTGTCCCTCATCCATTGGCTAAAGAGGACAAACAAAACAAAAACCAAAGTACAAAATAGAATAAGTAGTCCTTTTAAGATTATTAAGTATCATTTAAATTATGGTGAAGCCCAGCCAGTTTGGCTCAGTAGTTGGAAGCAGGAGGTCATGGTTGCATGCCCAGTCAGGGCACATGCCCCAGTTGCCGGCTCAATCCCCACTAGGGGACATGCAGGAGACAACCAATCAATGATTCTCTCTCATCATTGATGTTTCTTTCCCTCTCCCTTCCTCTCTGTGAAATCAAAAATATATTTTTTAAAATGTGGTTTTTTTTATTGTGATGAAAATGGCCACAAAATTTAAGTACTCTGGTACGTTTTTCTATTTCTTAGCTCTCAGTTAAGAATACTAACAATAGGATCCCAAATTGGTCAGAAATGGGCCCCATCTCCACGTTCCTTCCTCGTCCGTCCAGTTTCCGTTCTGAGCTGATTCCCCGCACTTTCCAGTCTGGGCGTGCACAGCCCTTGGCCTGTCCTTTGCTGCCGCTGCCGTCACGTTTTACGTGTCTTGACTGTGCGCTGCCAGCTGCCTTTTGTTTACATTAACATTTTCCCTTATTTGTAGTGAATACTTTCCTCACTGATGCATGGTTTGCTTTATTCTAGTTACATCATTCCAGGATAAGTACGAGTTTGCCATGTTCATTAGAATTCTCTGCATAATTTATGTATTTTAATAATGTGACTAAATCGTTTTGTTTTTTTACATTAAAGATATTTAATGACTTGTTATAACATAAACCTGTTTTTAATATTAGGTTAATCATGCCTGATGCAGTAACTTTGTGATTTTTAAGCCGCCTGCTTAAATGAATGTCACAAGGTTTGGGGGATTAACTGTATATAGTGGCCAGGGCAGGTGGTTGGCAGAATAGTGACCTGGGACACAACAGAAGGATCAAATGAATGTGAACATTTTTCTAGTTGGGTCTCAAATTCTGGAGCATTCAACAAACTCTTCAAATATTTTAAACAGAAGATTAAGAAGAAACAAAGATTTTGTAGTTAGTGGAGAGAGCACATTTATGAGATTTAGACCCACCCCAGGGAAATGGGAGAGGCCTTATAACGAGTTTACAGAGATTCTTCCCTCAGTGCAGAAGTCAGGATGCATCTGCAGATGTGCAGCTTGTCATAAAGCAGATTTCTAAGACAGTACTACATGCATTTAATATTATGCCGTGTGCTCCCTCAGAGCCTAAGGTGCTAGAGCCCAGGCCGTTTCTCCTCCCCACCTTGCTATACTGTGAAAGAGTTTGTTCACTTCAGGATCTGTAAGATTCTAAGTTAAAGTAGCTTCTGGCACCACGCTCCTCTTTCCAGTTCCTAAGAATCAGAAATGTCATGATGTCTGGAGCTAATTGTCAGCTTTCCTTCTGTTCGGCCCTGTCATTGATTTTATCCCTGTTATTATGCCACTCTTCCTTATGATTTGTTATCACTATTTTATTCAGCCCTTTTCCCTTCCTCTGTTCAGCACCTACCTAACTGGTGAGAGCCACAAAGAAGTAAAATTTATTTCTCTATGAGAAGATGAGATGAGAGAAAGGTTTGCTTTTATCATCATAAGGTATCTGCTTCCTGTGTGTTTCTTTTCAGATGTCCTTTCTTTTGAAAAATGTTGAGTGATTATGTAGATGTCAGTAACCTCAGCTAAGATATGATGACAGTAAACATTAACAAGGACACTTAGCCTCCAGTCTCCGTTGCTAAATTACCGACTTAATACCATTCCAGTTTTAATGTAAAGTAGTATGGACTGGCAGGGTTTGGTTTGAGGTGGGCTCATTAGAGTGACGTTCCCTTGTCTTTTTATCTAGCAGCTGTACATCCATAAATGAGGACTTTTTTAGCCCAATGGGAAATAATCATAAATTTGTTCATGTTAAGTGCAGGGAGGGAAAGTTTCCTTTTACAGAAATCAAAAGACGCTTTACTTAATTTTGCAAATGTGTTCAATTTTAACTTACAAATATTGACTCCCTGAAGGCATTTGTCTCTCCCTTGACCAGAAGTTTTAGTATATGAAAGAGAAGACAATTAAAAAAATCAGATTTTGAAACATTTTGAATTGCATTGTGTTAAGCCCTATGACCCCCTCCACCTTCTCTCTGAATGACATGAACTGCAAGTGCCCCCGTTTGTGGAGGAATGTGTCTCTACATAGCAGGGAGAGGGGGAGATCTGTATCCAACACCTGTAATGGGAGGCCCTGCCTAGGTCACAGGAGCTTAGAGCAGATTCTACAAAGCCCAGTGGGGAGGGCAACTTAGTAAAAGCAAAGTGGTGTCTTTGATCCCCGGGCAAAGGCAAGTGACATCCCAGCCCTCCTGTCTTCCTGGTCTCTTAGGATTCTCTTGAGGCTGAAGCCAACCAGGACTGTCGTTTTCAGACTGCCGTGAGCTTCACGGTGTCTGTAAACAGTTGAAATTAATTGAATGAAAGGCAAGGTTAATACAAAATAACTAGTAATTGGGTTTCAGATTTTTATCATCAAGTAGCTTCACTGTTATTTTATCAAGTGTTTTTAGACATTTGTGAATTCTTTTTATCTTTATCACATATTGCAATTATATTTCAAATTCTTTTTAAAGAAGTTTCAGAAAATCAAATGAATTGACTGTGAAACACAGAAAAAGGAAGTGGTGTTGGAGAACTCAGTGACAGGCCTACCCTTTGCCTCCCTCCCCACCACAGTCCTCAGGACCTGGCTCTGTCCCAAGGGCAGTCCTGTGACAGTGGTGGTTCACAGAGCTGGCCTCCCACCAAGAGAAATATTCTAATATGCAAACCAACCTGGAGCCCTTGCACTGGGAGGCGTCCCTGAAGTGCCTGCTGTGAGGAGCAGACTGTGAATCACTGGCTGGACCATTTGAGCTTTAGTCTGTCTGCGATGGTGCATTCACCGAGGCAGGGACTACGGCTGCATTTTCCAATTTAATACTTAGTGATTGTTAATATTCCAATTTAGTAGTTAATCCTATTGAGGACTTCAAAAGTAGCTAGTCCAATGCAAGATGTGCTGGAAGTGTGAAATACACACCAGATTTCAGCGTTAGCACACAAAATGTAAAATCATAGCAAATGTTAATATTTTCACTGTTATTGGGTCAAGTAAATATATATTAAAATTTTCCAGTTTCTTTTACTTTTTTAATGTGGCTTCTAGAAAATTTAAAATTACCCCTATGACTCACATTTTTTGGACAGTGCTGGGCTAGAATAGCAGGTTTTAGGCAGATGTCTGTTGCTACAATAATAGTGTGATGGCCACGTCAGGTAGGTAGGAGCATCTCTTACGGGAACCTGTGGTTTCCTTGACAGTATGGGAGAAAGGCATCATTGAACAGGAATGCTGTTGGAATCGTCACCTCTTTAAAAGTCTCATCTCAGAGGTAGATCTAAAACTGCTATATTAGGAGAACACGTTTCTCCCCAGTCTTTCCCATTGGCCCTAAATATAATTTGTGAGATATTTACCAAGTACTTTATATGCAACTGCTCTAATTCTTGTTTGCATGGAGTAAATAATACAATATAGAGATAGAAGAAGGGGTTCTACAGTTGAATTGTCCATTTTCTAAGTAGGCTTCTGAATGTAACTTCTGTACTTAAATTTAAATTGAGTTTGTCTCTGATGCTACCTCTTTATCTTGCCTTTAGGAAAACAGAAGGCACTGCTGCCTACAGCACGTACCAGAATAAATCAAGCACTCCAGCACAGTAGACGCTGTGACGGACTTTCCAGAACGCTCTACCACTTCATCTTTTTTAAAATGTCAGGAAAGACCCACATTAAATTCGATGGCTACTATGCAAAACAGTATGGAAGGCCCTCAAAATTAAAACCGGAGCCACCCTATGACCTTACGGGAATATATCTGAGTGAAGGGAAATCACTATGTGGAAGAGAGAATCTTCTGCCCCTCCCTGTTTGTTGCAGCCCTATTTACAGTAACAAAGACATGGAAGCAACCTGAAGTGCCGTCAGCCAATCAGTGGATAAGGGAGATGTCTGCACGTACAGTGAAATACTACTCAGTCATTAAAAAGGAAAACGTATTGGCCTTCAGGACATTTTGCTAAGTGAAATAAGTCATATATATAAAGAGACACATACTGTATGATCTCCTTTATATGTAGAGTCTATTTTAAAAAAACTCATCAAAGAAGCAATCAGATTTGTGGGTGGGGTGAGAGAACTGGATGAAGGTAGTGGTCAAAAGATTCAAATTTAGTTATAAGCTAAGCACGTATTGGAATGTAACGTACAGCATGGTGACTATAACTAGTAATACTTTATTGCATATTGGCAAGTTCCTTAAAGAATAGATCTTAAACATTCTGATCATAAGGGAAAAGATTTTTTTGTAATTATGTGAGTTGATAGATGGTAACTAAAATTTGCTCATCATTTCATAATAAACTTATCAAATCCTTACGCTGTACACCTTAAACTTAGTTAATGTTACATATCAATTACATCTCAATGAACTAGAAGGGGGAAAAGATCTACAAAGGCGTTCTCTGGTTTATTTCACTGTGAAGGCATAATGCTAACATGTCTCAGTGCCACTTGAATGTAGTCACTATCCTTTGACCCCTCTGAAATGGGTGTGAACTTGGGAATGAACAGCTAGCCTGTTATCCCTTAAAAAAACATTTGCATTTATAGAGCAATTCAACACAGTGCCCTTGGATTATGGTAGGGAAATGATGTTTTTTATAAACTCTGAATATTTAGAGAAGTATAGTTTAAAATGAGACATTTCATCTATAAAGTGTGATTTTGCAATGTTCATTTCCAAAGTTAATACCAACTTTCAAGATTCTTTTAACAACTCTCTTATGTGTATTGTAGATTCTTTATTGTAAAAAGTCTGTACAAATATGTGTATACTGCTTCAGCCCTTAAAAATTAAAAACAATTATCACTGAAAACTGGGAATTTGAGTAAGTTTGACCTCCTTAACTAAGAATATTATGGGGAAGTAATTTTACAGGGGATGGGATAAATTTCTATTTTGCAAAATATATTTTAACTTCTTGGTGATTTAGAGAAGCCATGAAGTTAATGTGTGGCATTTGTTCTTCACCTTTTCTAACATCAACAAACCAGCCTGAGAATAACAATTTAGGCTCAGTTGCTTACTTCTATAAAAAGTTAGAGGGCGCTAACACTCCTAACAGGAATGCCAGCTGTGGCCTTGTGGTTTTCTTGGGGAGAATTCCCCTCTTTAAGAGAGAACATAGAATGCGCTCTGAATTCTGGCCTAGGGGGTTTTCTCTCCAGACTTGAATAAAAAGCTCTCTCACTTCAGTAAGTCACCTGACAGTAGTTTGTAGGGAGTAAATCCATCAGATATCCCAAGTTGCATCAGAATTAGTCTTTGTGTGGGTCTCACCTCACCTGCTAAAAGGCAGAGTAAACATTAAGCCACATATTTCAGAAAAACAAAAACCTAAACTTTGTGCATTGGCTGTTGGTCCTATGCAGAGGAGAAAAACCATGTAGCTCAGGTATCACTTTATGCTCAGGTGGACCAGATCCCTCCCTCTCCGAGTCCTCACACCTGGCAGGGTCTCTTTCAAATGAGCCAAGGGCAAAGAGGAGGAACTGCCACTCTCATATATTCTTAAAGAGTTTTTATTTACATTTTTATTTTTAGTGACTCAAATTGGTCTGAAGAAATGTTGCCCTGAGAGGGATATGTTTGGAAAATCAGAGTGGACCAGAGTAAATACTATTTTACTTTATAAAGTGTTCCTTCCCTTTGTAATCTCTGGGGAGGGGCATTTTTGAACCAAAGATTGTTATTCTTCCCAAAATTAACTTTGATAATAGTGCTTCAAGTTTACTCTTTTTTTAATTTTATATGAGATATATGCATATAACTATTATGTTGTGAAATTCTGTTACTGAAATATATGGGGAAACCACTTTTCTGTAGAAAAATTTGTTTAAATGACAGAGGAGGAAGTATATTTGAATTAAATGTTTCTTAAAACGAGAAGAATGTATTTGCATTGAAGTGGGAAGCCCCACGAATGGAGGTCTTTATTGCTTTTTGAAAAATGTGTTCTTAAAATCTGATAAAATAAAATGTAGGGTGGGTTAAATTTGCTTGTGTCAATGTGCTCATTTCCAGTGTGCTTGATTTCAAATCAGAGTATGTTTCTAATGGGGTCCCACCCTCTCTAATCTTTCCACTCTCACAGTCATGACTCCTGCTCCTCACATCTCAGAGCCTGACATACATCCGGGCTTCTCCACTCCCAGCCCATCTGGCCCATCACCTGCCTCTCCTGCTCACAGGTGTTCAGTGACACCTACAGCAGAAGTCCAAGTTCCTCAGCGTGATGCTTGAGGACGTTCTACAATTAAATCCCAAATTTTCTCTCCAGGGCTCCTCTTTCTGCTGCATTTCTCTAAGTAATATGTTAGTCAAGCTGTACCATCTGCCCTGTGCTGTATTCCTGCTTCACTGATGCCTGAGAGGCCTGTGGTCCTTTCAGATTCTGGGCATCTTCCAGGGCCAGCACATCATACCAATTGGGTGAAGCTTTGCCTGATTTCTGCCCAGGTGTCCTATTACCCAGCTTGAGGCAACCACATCTGAGTATCTGTAGACACTGCTAGGACACATACCTTCCACATCAGTTTAATGTGTGGGTATGGCTAAGTACTTACAATCCCAAGTCCAACAATACTATCTAATAAAGATGGAATATGCAAATTGACCTTCCCTCCATCACCAAGAAGGCGGCACCCATAGCCACAAGATGGTGGCACCCAGTCCCCTCAGCCCCACCAGAGTAGTCCTTTTAGCCCTCGCCGCGGTGAGGGGTAAGCAGCCCCCCGCAGAGAGCAGGCAACAGGGCCCTGCTTGCCCCTGGCCGCGGCTATGAGCCAGAGAGCAGACAGGCAGGCAGGTCCGCAGAGAACCAGAGGGAGTGGGCCCTGGTGTCTGCTCTGAGTAGGCTGTCAGTAGGACATCCCCTGAGGGCTCCCAGATTGGAGAGGTTGCAGGTCGTGCTGAGGGACCCCCCCATCCCCCGTGCACGAGTTTCATGCACCGGGCCTCTAGTGAAATTATAAGATTTGATTTGTGTAATTATTAGGATTTTTTTTTTTTTTTTTTACTTAGGTAAAAACAAAAAAACTTACTCTTGGCATTAAATCAGGTTGCTGGAGCTCTGAGATCAGGCTCCGTGGGACTCAGCCATGGCTGCAATCACCGGCAGAGCTTCCACCCAGAATTCCCAACATAATGGATCTGCTCTGTGCCCTGGGCAGAGGGATGTTTTTAAAGCTCCTCAAGTGTTTCTAATATGCAGCTAAGGTTGAAAACCTCTGCATTGCTGACTCATCCACAGTCCGTTTCTACATGGAAACTTATAAAGACAGGAGGGAAAGGTTTATATTTGAGAAATTTGAGTTTTATTAAATCAACCTATGAAAGAAATCAGAAATGCCTTAGACTTGAATCAAGGTCTTGTTGCCGGGCTAACCAAACAAGGTTATCTGTGGTTTAAAAATACAAGAAGCGCCCTAGCTGGTTTGGCTCAGTGGATAGAGTGTCAGCCTGTGGACTGAAAAGGTCCCAGGTTCGATTCTGGTCAAGGGCATGTACCTTGGTTGCGGGCACATCCCCAGTAGGAGGTGTGCAGGAGGCAGCTGATCAATGTTTCTCATCAATGTTTCTAACTCTCTATCCTTCTCCCTTTCTCTCTGTAAAAAATCAATAAAATATATTTTAAAAAAAATACAAGAAGCAATCTTTCTAATACCAACACTGGAGGAAAATTAACTTGCCTATAAACAAAGCATTTTGTTAAAAAAAAATTTATATATTTTTATTGATTTCAGAGAGGAAGGGAGAGGGAGAGAGAGATAGAAACATCAATGATGAGAGAATCATTGATTGGCTGCCTCCTGCACGCCCCTCACTGGGGATTGAGACCGCAACCCAGGCATGTGCCCTTGACCAGAATCAAACCCGGGACCCTTCAATCTGCAGGCCGATGCTCTACTCACTGAGCCAAACTGGCTAGGGTTTAAATTTTATTTGGCTTTATCTTGAGGTTATTTTTTATACTTGTCTATTGGTATAAAATATACAGGAGAACATTCAAGGTGACTAACAATAAAAGTCTTCTACGAAAATGCTAAAAAGTGGGAGAGGAGGAATTTGAATTTTCATTGTTAAAGGAGATGTTAGGTTTAAGGAACTGATATACTAAAATTTAGTAATGCCCAATGCCTGACAGCTAATATGGTAACTCAGAATGAACTTTACATATTTTAAGAATTTGCGTATTTGAACAGGATTTAACCTAGTGTACTGACTTACTGAAATCATGCAAAATTGAGGATACTCATTTTTTTTCCCCTAACCTACACTACTTTCATTTCCAGTCTTGTCCATGAAAAGTTACACACACACACACACACACACACACACACACACACACACGCTATTTTTGTAAATCGTAGCACTGCTGCCCCCATGTGGACAGTTGGAGTATTGGACAATCTCTTCCTTAGCCCTTCAAATTCTTTTGTTTTTTAAATGTTTTTATTGATTTCAGAGGGAGAAACATTGATAAGCTGCCTCCTGAACATACATATATCCACTGGGAATCAAACCGCAACCCAGGCATGTGCCCTGACCAAGAATGGAACCGTGATCTCCTGGTGAATGGGTCTACACTCAACCACTGAGCCACACCAGCTGGGTGCCCTGCACACTTTTTATTCAGATGTTTCAGTCACTAATTACCAGAAGCCCTTTATTATTTCCTTTTGGGTCTAGTATTAACTAGCTCTTTTCTGGTTTCCTTCTGTGAAATTAGCAGTTTTTAATGTCTATAGTCTGTCCTTTATTGCTTAATATAGGGGAAGTACCACATTGGGGTTTGGGGTCAGTAAACCATTTTCCCTTCCCCCTCGTTTACATACCAGCAGAAAGGGAACGAATTACCATAGCATAGATCACACTGAGAAAGTTACCCACCCCGATTCCCGGCTTGCCCAAGAAAACGTGCAGCGGGGTAGTAACACCCACGTTTGCAGAGGAGCCACTTGTGGTTATGTTACTTTTCTGGAGCTTTTTTAAAAATTGAATTATTGTATGTTGCAGTGGCAAGCCTTGTGCCAAATACCAGAAACAAGCAACAGCTCTGGTCTCCTGGGACTTTGGGCTTGTTGCTTCCTTCGGAGACCACTGCCATTTAGATGAGCACTTGTTTATGGTGTTTGAGAAAAGGATTGGTCTCTGACCACCTACCGCCAATGAAAAGGCTCCTAGGAAAACACTCCTTCAAGTTGCCATTGACATGGGACTCCATTATGAGAGACTCTTTGGTTAAGGTCCTACAGAACCCCACTTCTCACATTTTAGTGTGTAGGTGAATCACAAGGTGATCTTGATAAAATGCAGATTCTGATTCAACAGGTCTGCTGTTTGTGGTAGTTCGAATGATGGCCTCACAGATATCGGGTTGAGACCATGCTATTCCTGGGACCTGTGATGTTACCTGCACGGCAAAGGGTTTTCTCAGATGAGACTTGGAATGGGGGAGGTTACCCTTGACTTATCCAGGTGGGGCCCTAAATGTAATCTCTAAGAGGAAGGCAGGGGGAGATGTGACGACAGCACAAGTTGATGTGACCACTCAAGCAAAATGCTGCTGGATGGCGGCAGGAGCCAAAAAACAAAGAATGCAGCTCCAGAAGCTGGAAAAGGCAAGGGAACTGAATCTCTCCCAGTCCCCACCAATACCTTGCTTTCCACCCAGTGAAATTGATTTCAGACTTATGACTTCCAGAACAAAAAGAATAAATGTGTGTTGTCTTGAGACACTGTGTGCATGTTTGTGTTCCTCCAACATTCCTGTGTTAAATCGTAACCTCCAAGGGGATGGCATTAGGAGGTGGGGCCACTGGGAAGTTACTAGGTCATGGGGGCTCAGGCTTCATGAATGGGATTCGTGTCCCTATAAAAGAATCCCAAGAAAGTCCCTCAGCCCTCTGCCATGTGAACTTACAGCTAGAAGGCCCTGTCCGTGAACCACAAAGCTGGCTCTCACTAGATGCCGACACTGCCAGGGCCTCCATCTTGGGCTTCCCAGCCACCAGAACTGTGAGGAACGCATTTCTGTTATTTACCAGTTACGCAGTCTGTAGTATTTTTTCTAGAGGCTGGAAGACACTGAGACTCCCAATCTGCTGTGATTTGTTACCGCAGCCACAGGAAATGAGCCCCCAATGCTAGGGGTCCTCAGAACACGCTGTGAGGAGCAAAGCCTTGTAGAAGCCAAGCCACAGACAGGTGGTTGTCAACCCTGGCTACGCATTAGCATCATCTGGGATGAGTTTGAAACAAACAGCAACAAGCAAGCCCAGGTCCCACTGCTGGAAGAGTGAAGGCAGAACCTGTAAGGGTGGCGGCTAAGCATCACTCTAAAGCAGTGGTTCTCAACCTGTGGGTCGCCACCCCTTTGGGGGTCGAACGACCCTTTCACAGGGGTCACCTAAGACCATCGGAAAACACATATATAATTACATATTGCTTTTGTGATTAATCACTATGCTTTAATTATGTTCAATTTGTAACAATGAAAATACACCCTGCATATCAGATATTTACATGACGATTCATAACAGTAGCAAAATTACAGTTGTGAAGTAGCAACGAAAATAATTTTATGGTTGAGGGTCACCACAACATGAGGAACTGTATTAAAGGGTCTCGGCATTAGGAAGGTTGAGAACCACTGCTCTAAAGGCTCCTTGGGTGAATCTGATCAGAAGGTAGGGAGGAGCTGTCTCATGAGAATAAACCCAAAATACAGCTTTCCTTGTGTTCAAGGAAAACTCTTAAGCTCCCCGATATATGGACACACTAGTCTCCCGCCACCCCGCTTGCCCTGCTGAACTATATGCCGGCTTCTCAGTGAGGTCTGGGCCCACGCCTCATGTGAAGAATTACCAGGTTCGAGACTTAACACGTTATTTCACCTAAATTGTGTTCAGCTCTGCTGTCTCGGGCTTATGAAGAACGCCTCAGCCTTTATTTCCCCAGGTGGGAACCATTGCCAGTACAGCCAGCACGGGC